GATTTCACGTTTCCGAGCATGGGCTGATCAGTTGACCTTGAGATTTCAATTCCCACCAGGAAAATCCATGGCTATGATTGGCTGCTGTGTATTTTAGTGTGTGCTATTTTCTTAACTGTCTCAAGGATGTTTCTATGTTGTATAAATAAACGAGAGTTGTATGCTTGATTGTATAGTGTGATTGCTGGATGTTTGTAGAATATACCTTTCTATGCTTACAAAGTCTTTTTACTCGCTTTGGGGATTCAAGGTAGCCTACCTGGACGCTGGTAAAAGTCTCGTTCGCGTTTATCGAATAAGGTAAACTGGTAATAGCCTCAAGCATACTTAGTGACGAACTTATCAGTGTGAGTGTGAGGTTAGCGATTTCATCCAGTCGAAAAACTAGCTCACTACTGAAACGCTAACCAGTAAAAATAATTCAAATTATTTTAAGTCTGCCCCCCGCGGAGTTAGAAGATCTTCATTCGGTAAAGTTATGATGTCTCATGATGAAGTCTGAATTCTATTACACCTGCATGTAATAAACACGTCATTTTGATATGCTTGAACTATTACGAGTTTACCCCTTAGTCGGAAAACGAGAGCGCGGCAATCGAGGATCCGGCGACACGACATTGCTAATCAAATCCAATTATCCCAACCCCCATATTGAGTGAAAATAAGATTTAAATGTGGAGTAGAACCTGTATTTTAAAAGCATCCAGAAAGTACTAGTTCCGAATCCAGAAGAGAATCAGGATCCCGGACTAGGGATCTGGGACCGGGTAGTGGTCCTGGTCATAAAATGTTACAAGTAATGCGTATTCATACATTTCGCTCGAATAGGAAACACCATCGAAATCTGTGACATTGACAGTTAAGACGATCAGTAGGAAGTAACATTTGAAGTGACATTGATAGTCAGGACAACAAATAAGAAACAACATAGGAGTTCGTGACACTGACAGTTAGGACGACCATAAAATTGACCAGTAGGTATTAAGCAATAAGAATTGACCAATAATTCTCTTAGGATATTGGATAAATATCCTAACAAATTCCTTTGGAAGTCACGAGGTCTGTGCTCATTCTGAAAACCAGGCAAAACCATTAATTTAGGTATATGAAATGTTCGTACAATGTAAGAGACCAGTGGAGTTATTCTATTTGCTTCAGAAACAAAGAGATACAACCTAGAGGTGCATACTGAATCAGTGAAACATATTGGATACAGGTCAAACAACAAAGAATTACCTTCAGGAGAGACAGAACTTGAAAGGAAAGCCCGGGGACAGAGTACCTTGAAAAATCCTGGTCGACGGCTTATGATCCATCGGGGGTAAATAAGTAAATATTTGAATCGATTTTTACAGACTCAGTTGAGCAAGGCAGTTCTAGGAAGAGTTCGTCGTGTTTATCTTCTCAATTTTATAAGAAATTTCACACAGTAACTAGATGAAATAGCCAAATTTCAAATCTTTACCCTTAATGTTAATACATTAGTATGGATATTTCACGATACTACCATTCCGTTGATCGATTTCTCTGATAATATACCATCATATTTTATTTATTGCGAGGAAAGATTGAATTTTCGAATTTATTTCACTAAAGTCGATAAAATTTTAAGATAACATGTAATCCTTAACAAAATATTACCATGTACACATTGTAGTGACCTTACTTAGGAAATCGGTTAGAACTAGAAAACAGTTCTGGTGTACATCTACTAGCTGGACAATGTCACGAGTCATCAGGTACCTCAGTGAGGATTTCAATAATTAGGTCATTCAGTTAACACAGCCAATGGCTTACTGTCATGACTAATTAATTTATTTTCTAGCTAGAGAAATTATAGTTTAGATAACTTGCTGAGTTAGACCACCACTGAAAACCAAGAAGTGATGGACGATCGTTTCGTCCTTGTATGAGACTCGTCAGTAGCGCACACCAAAAGCAGAAATCGAACCCAAGAGCTTCGGTGTCGCACTCGAAAGCCTATCACCTGATTATTTAGTCAGCATACAATGATGTTAATGTCTAACTTCAATCGATGCACGCTACTGCGTGACCTCATCCATTGTCTTTGATAGGTAACTGGACGCCGACCAAGTGATCAAGAAGTTAAGTGTTAGCATCCAAGAGTGAAGGTTTCAAGTTTGATTCATAGATGAGTCATGGATGCTGATTACTGATGAGTCCCATATCAGAACAAAATGGCCGTCTCTCGCTTCCAGGCGTTTTATTGATGGTTTATGATTTTGGTGAAACTCAAATAATTTTCTTCAGCCTTTAATGAAAATTTGTTTATACAGAGGAAACTTATCTAACTACAAATTGATTCCATTCATGTGATTAGAATGGACAGTTTTCCCTACAAAATCACATTAATAAACCTCATCAGACAACTTTAATTAGAATTATGGAGATTAGTGTTTTTACACATTTGAAATCATCAATCAATCATTATTAGATCACCATTGGAAACCTGGAAGCACTGGATGGCCGTGTCTTCGTGGTATGGGACTCATCAACAGTGCCCATCCACGACTCCTGCACCTCGCATGATTCGAACCCTGGACCTTCGGTCTTGTGTGCGAATGCCTAACCTATGAACCATTGGGCCGTAGTTTTGCTACGAGTTTAAATCTAGCTTGCAACACCAGTTCCTAGCTTGATGATCAATATCAGTTATTACATAATCTAAATCATTACAAAATTACATAATAACAATAACAGACATTATCAACATCTCAAAACCATCAGTGAGAGCAGTACAAAACTTGTGAACGAAGTTTCAATCAAAATCAACTGTCATACAATGAATGGAACAGAGTTTTTAAATTCATTATGAAATGAATGTAAGCAATAAGTTTTTAATTGTGTTGTCATTGTTAAACTACCATTAGAAACCTGAGAGCATTCGATTGCTGTTTCGTCCCAGTGTGGTACTCATCAGCAGTGCGCATCCACGACTCCTGCACCTCGCAGGATTCAAATCCAAAACCTTCGGTTGTGAGTGCGTACATTTGATGAGGAGTCTCAGAACAGGACGAAACACACGTTTAATGCTTCTAGGTTTCTAATGCTGATCTAGTATTGATCAACTTATGATCTCAAAAACAATTTATACTGATGATATTTTTTAAATGTTTAGAAAGAAAACAAATACAAATTAAGTATTGAAAATTAATTCGAAAGACGTTTGTTCAGAAGATAGAAGTGTGTTTATTAACAGTTGTCTTCACAAAATACTTCGGATTCGTTGGCCAGACACCACCATCAGCGACAACCTACTGCGGGAGAGAACAAACCAGATTCTAGTGGAGGAGGAAATCAGGAAGAAGCGATAGAGTTGGTGGATAGGACACTTACTACGAAAAGCACCTAACTGCGTCACAAGATAAGCTCTCCTACCTTGGAATCCTCAATGCAAAAGGAAAAGAGGAAGGCCAAATAACACATCACGCCGAGAAATAGAGAAAGACATGAGCAGAATGAACAAACATTGGACAGAACTAGAAAGGGAAGCTAAGGACAGATTTGGTTGGCGAAAACTGGTGGGCGGCCTATGCTCCACTGGGGGTAACAGGCGTAAGTAAGTAAGTAAGTAAGTACGTTTGTCCAAACTGTGCTTTTCTTGTTGCATAATGGTCATCAGCTAGATACCTTATTACTTCTGCTCTGATAGATTCATAACTTCACTGAAACTTGACAGTCCTCACAACCTTAGTTTCGTGAAAGAATTCTCGAAATTCTAATGAGACGCCATGACTAGTAGAACCTAAATGTGTTGGATGTGAAGCAGTTACCCACTGAAGACAATCTATGGTGTTCGTGAAATATTGTTAGACATTAACATCGTCATATGCTGGTTCATTGGTCAAGAATTTAAGTGTTCACATGCGAGAATGAAGGTCCCGAGCATGGTTCTCGTTTGAAGACATACGTTGCTAATAAATGCCATACAATGGTCGTAGAGTGCTTCCACGTTTTCAGTGGTCATGTAACATTTCTGAATTCATGATTTCAATATAAAAAGAGACGTTTTCAACGGACTGAGTTTACTAATCATCAGGTAAATCAATATGTGAAAAAAGAACTACAAACGATTTAAAATTAAAGATTTGGAAATTCAAATCAGACGTACAAATTTTAAAATAGTTCAATTGTCAATTTTATATTTATTTGTTCATTGGTGTTTAAATTTTACAAACTTTTACAAAAATTTATTTATTTGTTTCAACATATTAACATTAATGCAAAGAGGTATTCAAATATTTGTGTGCTACACAAAATGTTGACTTTGTTTGTGAACAAGGATGCTGCAAGAATGATCAAACCAAGGCAGATGGCTTCTTTTTCAAGAGGCGACCCTACAACACCTTGATTGAAAGATCTAATCTACAGTGAAGTGAAGTAACGTTGGGAAATGCAGAACCATATTAGTCGGTGACCAAACAAGACTCATACCCCATCTACTCCCACAAGATCTTTGAATCAGTGTTCACCATGGAGTAGGATGCTCTGTACCCATCCACCTGATAAGAGAGTAGGATACTCGCTTTATTTCCGTTTATTTTCCTTTTACGCAATACCTTACAGCGTCAGAACACAGTGAATATGACATGGAATATGACACTGGAAAGCATTTCAATCGAGCGCGCAAACTTTCCAAACGGATTCAATTACATAATGAATTATTTTTACTCATTTTCAAGAAAAAAATATATATATATATAATTAAACCTAATCCATTGAAAAACATTTTTCTTTAAAATAATTCCGATTTATTATTATTTGATCTATTTCTCATCAATTCATTAAAACACTTAGTCATGATCAATTGTCAATCATTTTATATCATCATAAAATACATCTGACGTAAACTACAATCATCAACAATTAAGACAAGTAACACTGTAGAAAATTTTTTATGATGTCAATAATAATAATAATAATAATAATAATAATAATAATAATAATAGTATTAATGATTATCAACAATCACAACTCACTTTCCAATTACGTGTTGGTACAGTGATGCCGATCAATACTTTACATTCAATCCCATTGGTCAGCGGAGTTGATGGTGTCGGTGTATGATTGGTTAATTCAGATGGTATACGTTGAATTGGCATGAATATGTTGAGTTTAGTTGATTGTGTATGTTTTTCTACTGCTTTTTTGTACAGAAAAAAAAATAATAATTCTGTTTACTTTGATTTTTTTTTAATTTTGTTTAAATTATTTAGGTTGTTTTAATGAGTTGTTGTTAATTAGGACAATTTTTGTTTTACTGTTTTAATTATTATTCTATTTTCATATGTCTGGAATAGGAAGCGTAAAAAAACGAAACAAAACAGTAAAGATAAATATTTTAATGAAAAATAAAAGAGATGAAAGATTTCTTGGTGAATTTTTAATGATATTTGTTAATGATATTATATTCTGATATATATATATTTGATCAGTTGATTACATCATCGTCATCATCATGAACAGCAACGAAGAAGTTGGTACGTACGTACGTGCGTACATCAGTTCAAGTTGCTATACCACATTAACGCACAGACATGTAATTGTTGATTCAAATTCCATAGTAGTAGAGGTAGTGAAAGTGTTAGCAGTAATAGAGAAGATTAGGATTCGAAAATATGATTCAAGAAGTATAATGCAGTGAGGTTAATTTAGAAAGAGAAAGATAAAGGTGGTGAGGAATTCAGAAGGTTAGGCTTTGAGAGAACAGAAAGAGTGGATACACCTGAGCTATTGCATACGGTTTTGAGCCATGTAATTCAGGGTCTTTTATCATCGATTACTATCGTCTCAAGGACTCCAACCAGGTAGTCAACACCTACCAACATGACACAATCCACTTGTCAGTGATTTCATGGATTTGTGCCATCTTTTGGTCTGGCCGCCTTCCATCTTTCTTCAAACATACTACTAAACCTAAAAGCATAGCTCGACGAAGCAGTCGGTGCTTAAGCATGTGCAACTCATGTCCCAACCACTTCAACTGATGAGGTTTCATTTCTTCATCTATTGATCTGCCATCCTTGCCTAGCATCCGTTTCCTGACAACAGCATTGCCTACTCAAATGATTACATGAATGAATATAATGTCCAGTACACAAACCATTTGCTAGGTTTATTCATAATGAAGTGATAGATAAATGTTTTTAGTACTTTTTAACTTATGACTGACAGTGAAATTTATAACGTGCATTTTCTTTTAAGTTTAGTTTTGATCAACTTGATTAACCCGTATCTTAGTGTATCTTGATGCTTATATGGAAATGTAAAGTCAATATTTAACGTCAGCATGTTATAAATGCTTTACAGACAAATTTATACCCATTGAACAAGTTTTTGAATCAGATGATTCAATAGCTTAGTGGATTATTTCGTCAGTGTTTGAAACAATAAGGGTTTTCGGTCCCAGTTGCAGTATGATGGCCTGCAGTGGAATGCCAATACACCCAAGTTATGAGCCCCAAATAGGGCGGAGCTACACGTTATACGTGGAATGTAGCTATCAGTAGTATTCGAGATAGCAAAATCTAAGTCCCTTCAATTTTGATAAAGTTAAATCTCATAAACGTTGGTGCAAGCGAATAGCTACCTTGATTTAGTAACTAAATAGATAACATGCTTGAAGTAAACAGTACTTGGTTTGAGACCAGAATCGGCATTAGTAAAGTTAGAATAAAACGAAATTTCGACAAAGTATGTAGTGTATTGCCTCAATTAACCATTTATCATCATAGAACTCATTGTATAAGTGGGAAGTAGTTAACACAGTTAGTTTCAATAGAATAAAAGCTTCAAGATGATATGGTGAATCAACTCAAATGCAATTTCACTGTCTATAGGTTTACTTAAGTCATTGGTTAGATCAAATAATAAACTGGCAATGGGTAGATATAATAACGGAATGGTCATCTGTGCAAGTTTTAAGTGCACAACTACGAAAAATTGATTTTAGAAGAGTCAGTTTTCATGTTACTTCTATCTGGCCACAAATCGACGACTCACTGACAGGGAAAAACCGGACTTTGGTGAGTTACAAATTTTCTTACAAATGTCAAGAAAGTGTAATATGTGTGAACAAACTTTTTCTTAATACTGAATAACTCCTAACATGATGTTGAAAATACACTTTACCAAACAAAACACAAAGTTACATAAGGTTGCCAACTTTGAGGCCTAAAATGAATACTATTGTAGTGAACGAGAACACAGGTGGGGCAACCGAATTGTATTTAACGAAAATTACAGAGTTACTCAGTAAAATAGGAAAACCATATCGTAAATCGTTCATTTGCAAAATATCAGTTCATCATATCGAACTGGAGGACTGTTCCTGTTGCAAAACATCAACAATCCATTGTCACTATTCATCCGTTTCATACAAATTCCATTGTGTTCTAACTCTTACTTTCTTGATCTTCCCCCATCTGCTGCTGCCAGACATTATGTTTACACTCACGTCATATACTACTTGTAAGTAGCTCACACCACACTATGTATGAACTAAATAACTTATGATAATAATGGAAGGAAATGAAAATTTGAAATTGGATGTAGTTATTCTACCATAAATTAAGTAGCTTATAAGGCTGTATTTTATGTTGACTTCCAAATTCATTATTCTTTAGTCTCTGTGAACAACCTCTTTTAAGCAGACTTAAGGTTAATAAGATGTTCTGAGATGTGTTCGTACTTTTTTGATCAGGTAACTGAGGTATCGTACTCATTAACGTCTTTTATAAAATCACTAATTTTATTTTCACACGACTGACGTAAATCACAGATAGAAATTCTAATTGGTAGAATAGTTTTATATGTGTATTACGAACGTTCTCTAATTATTTTGAACCTAATATACATCGAATATCTTCTTCACGGGCTAGTATAAACCGAGTGATTTATTCACACTAGATTCTTGTATTTTTGGTAAAGATACAGACAAACGGTAGGGATAAAATCCTATAATATTCGTACCCCCGTTCACAATAATTTCGTTGATAAAGTTTCAGAAATAAATAAGCGATTATTCTTAGTGCAAAACAACTGAACCATCAAAGGAAAGCCAGTGAATAATATAGTTTCTTCAAACGTGGATTTTTCATAGACTATGGATTACAAACTGTTGAAAAAACAGTGAGTAGTATTTTAAGTCCCTGGGTGCGGCATAATTTGACGAATAAAACAATTTTTTGTATAAAGCTGCTACGAATCAATCAACTTTAATTTTTCGGAGCAGTATACTACATCTTATTCGTGAAAAATACAAATAAGTTCAAACAAATTAAATTTTCGAGCCATCGGAAAGTGATTTATTTTTATTATGTACTTTTGTAAAAGCATGGAAACAACAGTCTTGAATTACCTTTATACTATGAAAACATAGATCTCACTTTGAAAAAACAGTGACCTTTAAGTCATAAAAGTGATTACTTTAAACAATACTCAAGTTGAGAAGTCAGTGGAATGTAATGTCTGTTAAAATCATTCTTCGATTGACCATCCCACACTTTTTATTCTATCCGTTAGTGTGGCATGCTGTATAGCAAACAAAGTAACTAAATATTTTTGTTTTTGGGAGCCGAGTTCTGCTTGCTGATTACTGGACATTAATTATCGCCAGCTAAATCACAAATTGTGGATTCTAAGTTTCAAAATGCCTTTGGATCCAAAAGATATATGCCGGAATCAGTGAACTTCTCCGAAGCTTAGTGATATCATTTCACGGATTTTCATGCGAACCCTTTTACATTCTCTGTTCAGTAGATATATTGTCAAGTATCTAATATCCAATTTATTCATTTTCTTTTTCAAGAGGTAGTATAAACCGTTTGGTTTCTTTCTTCTTTCTCCTTGTCCTTTCAGTGCTCCTCTAGGTGTCTGATAATTTCCAATGGATGGTAGTCTGGCCACTCGACTGCACTGACTCTAGTCAGTCGAGAGTTTTTCGTGAACATGCATGTCCCACACAAAGTAAGCAATGGATGAATCGTGAGAAGATTAGCGGCCCAAAGTTTTAGCCTTTAGATCAGCTAGTTTTCATGGAACGACCGTTTGACATAGCGTTGTACGGTAAGAAACCATTTTTGTTTCTAAACGCACCCTTAAACTGAGATAATACCATCAGTATTTGGTGACTTCTAAGGCTGCAGGTCTAACAACTTCTGGAACCTCCTGTTTTAAAGTCAGTGACTGAAAGTTTAGCACTGTATATTTTTCATGATGTGATGGTCAACAAGCCATACGGACGACGGAGAGGAAGAAAACGGTCCGTATTCCAACAGGAAGAATAAGGTCATTCCATACAAAAACCAAACACCATCAGCAACAACGAACTGTGGGAGAAAACAAACCAGATTCCAGTGGGGGAGGAAATCAGGAAGAAGCGGTGGAAGTGGATAGGACACACACTACGAAAAGCACCGAACTGCGTCACGAGACAAGCCCTCACATGGAACCCTCAAGACAAAAGGAAAAGAGGAAGGCCAAAGAATACATTACGCCGAGAAATAGAGAAAGATATAAGAGGAATGAACAAACATTGGACAGAACTGGAGAGGTAAGCCCATGACAGAGTTGGTTGGAGAAAACTGGTTGGCGGACTATGCTCCATTGTGGGTAACAGGCGTAAGTAAGTAAGTAAGTAATACAAAAACCAAATCATGATCATTTCAGCGGTACTCTGAATAACAGTAAAAGATTTTTTGTAACTTATCAGCATGATCGTGATCTCAGCAATTATTTAAATCTAATCAGGAGGATACCTAGTTAGAAATATTAACTTAATAATAATCTGGCGTTTAATTCGATCAGCAGCCCTGTCACTGGTTGTACAGCCCGTGTAAAGACACTGATTCCTAACTACACGCATACTCAGAACTAGGCATATAGTAAGTGGGAGGACTTACATTAGCTGTCCGATATTATTAAAATAGCATCGCTCAGTCATACAGGCGTTGTCACCCTATGTAACATCCCATTTTCCATGAAAAATATGCTGTTCTATTCCAAGCCTAAATTTGTTCCCCGAAAGCATTAAAATGCATACTACTGACTGGTACGATTGGACTAGTGGGTATATGCAATGCCGTGACTTTCACACAAGCTG